CATCTAGAACGTGCAATGCTTGTGCTTACTTTAAAGATTTACTTCTGATCAGATAAATTACAAAGTGAGTTGTGAGTTAGAAATAATACCTTCAGAAAAATATTTGCAAAATCTCCTGTTACAGATTGGTTTTGCTCAGCGTTCGGTACTGGAGTTTTAAGGCAGATTTCGGCTCCAGGATCAGAAAATGGTCCTTCTCCCTACTAAATAGATCAGTGCACGTGATCAAACGTCAAAAGGTAATTCCAGATGTGCTAGTTAAAGAGATGGTGGTGTCGCTGCTGTTAAGGGGGAAAATTGCATTAGGAATTAGTCGCACAAAAAGGAGAGCAGTTGTGAAATCATAACTGGTTTTTCTGGAAACCTGTGGGTTTGTTTTTTTTTTTTTTTTTTTTAGAGCACCGATACTCAGGCGTGTTAGTCGAGGTGCTAAGAAATGTGTGATAAATAGCAGGTGTACAGGTAAGGGATGTTTGGGGTGAGGTCGGATGTTTGGGGTGAGGTCGGGGAAAGATGGGCTTTTACCTTCCAGAAATGGTGGATGCAGGAAAGGTGCTCAGAGGGCAGATGAGGAGTGTCCAAGGAAGATGCAGAAGAAATCACAGTTTTATGACTCTAACCTGCTCCTGCTAAAATCTAGGCCAGAATTCCCCCCGGCTTTGCTGACAGGCCAAATAGAGCAGGGCGCGAGACAGAAGTAGCGTCTCGTGCGTGGCGTCAAAAGTACTGCGTGCTTAAGGAAAATAAGAAACAGCTAAGACGGGCTAGTTGCGGAAAATTGAACCGTAATTTGTTGTTTTAGCTTGTTGAGCAGGCAGTGCTGCTTTAGCTTTCTTGTCCGGCCTTCAGAATGAAAAGGAACTCTTCTGTTAGTTAAATGCAGTATCGATTTCAGTTAACGTTAACAAGTATTAATAAAAGGAACCGCGTTGTCTTGAAGAGTTCGGGTGGGTAGAATTTCGTGAGTGGTTTTATCCAAGTTCAGCTTTCTGAGAACGTTAATAAAGTATGCGCAGAACTTGCATTGTAGACGACATTTAGATTTCATTCTAACGGCAAAACAGGGTCTTGGTAAGAGTTGTGAGCATCTTGCTTTCCTCTTCTGTACTCATTAATAGTTGCTAAAATTCTTAAACGGGATCTGATGAATTTTGAAAAGAAACTGGCAGATGTTGTGTGCAAATTCTTAGCATGTTCTCGTTCTTCCTGCCACAGAGGACAAGTTCAGCGATCATTGACCGTGTTTGTTGGATACTAGAAAAATCTTTCCAACTGAAAAATTTAAAACTGGTGTAGTATAAATGGTGGCAGTCGTAGTTATTGGGACACACAGGTGATCAAGATTTTCCAGTTCTGGAAAGAATCACCTTATTTGTCACAGCACTACCATGTGGTTACCACTGAAGAACAGTATGCGCAACTGTTGCTGCACACTAGGACCCAAACTTGCCGTTTTTTCCCTCCGGTACTTCATAAGATACCAACAATAAATATACAATAAATAAACGTGTAGAGGGGACCTTAACTCTTAAATTGGTTTCTTACGCACTTTCCATTATTCTGAGGGAATGAGACGATGTTTGTTTTAAATTAAAGTATAAAATCGTTACCAAAAAAGTAATGGACTCTGAACTGAACTGATATCTTCCTCGTATTAAGCCAAATCGGGCATTCGAGAGACAACAGTGACTCTGTTAATTAACTCTCAACTTCTTTGTTTTTCCTTTTTCTTTTTATCTGTAAGTGACAGATTATGCTTGAAGAGCTGAAAGTCCAAGAGTACTAATTTTGATAGTTGGCTAGTGGATGATTTGCAGTCAGGCCGGTCTACCTTTTCCTTATCAGTCACAGTAGAGAGAGATAGGTATTTACCTGTATCTGTAAATATATCTATACCTACACATCTATAAATAACAGCGCTTACTCACCCCTCTCTAAGGCCCTTGTTTTCATTTCCCTTCTTGTGAGTATCCGTGCTCCTGACGATCTGTGGCAGTTCTTGCATCCGTGGACGGGGCTGACAGAAGTCATAGCATTGCTTTGTAAGAGGGCTTTTGTTGTGCTGCCAGTATGGTAGAGCCGGATGTCCGGGTTTGGTTCCCCGCGGGAGATGGGGTGTTTGAGAAACAGTACAGGAGAGGGGATAACCGGAAGTCTATAAAAGAGTAGGGCGTATTAAAAGAGAAATGAGGACCAACCAGTTCAGTGAAAAAAATAGCACTGTATCAGAGACGAGGTGTGACTCTGTCTTTTAGTTTGATATCACAAGAAGGCGACTCACGTTAACTGAGATATATTTCTATGACTCTTGCATCCTCTACTGGGTAATGTTTATGCGCCGTAAAGATGGAACAGATCACAGAAAGAACCGCCGAAGTGACCGGGAAAGATATTTCACGTTCACTGAACACATAGATTTACTTTCTTGAGTGAAAATAATAAACTCAGGCAAAGTTGTCCTCCTTTTGAAGTGACCAACTTGTCCGAGCGTGGGAAGCAGTAACGAGGGGGGGCGGCGCCTCTTTGACGTTCTACAATTTGACTGTGTTCATATAGCAGCCAAAAGAGTTGTAAAACGCAACTTTGGGGGTGTCTACTAGTTAGCCATGTTTCTGCAGGCTGTCTGAGAAGATAAATCGCATACCTTTGTGCTTCAGTATTTTTGCATTCCTTGGGAGTCAGAAGGGGTGAATGCTCTTCAGGCAAATGTATGACTATGTGTAGGTAAGAAACCTTTTAATAAGAAATATTTCAGATGTAATCTAAGCTAACACTGATGTTACTTCTGTCACCAAAAAAAGTTACTCTGGGATGGTCTCACGGCGTTTCCTCTGCCTTGGAAAAACATATTTTTTGTTGTAGCGTTGGGAGAAGCTGAAAACAGTGCTGCAGGACTTCAGGGTATCAGAGCGCAGTGCCGAAGCATTTGCAAAGTATTGCTGTTGCTTTTCAGTGATGTTCTCGTCTTTTTACATCCATTAGAATAACAGGCTAATGGCAATGTTAAACGCTGAGGAAGATCTGAGAACAGCCAAGTACAAAGTAGGGCATGTTGAAATTTCTTACACCATAGCTTTCACTCTGACCAGATTTTAATTTCAGTTTCGTGTTGGGCGTACACGTGAACGTTCTTAGAGCAATTTTCCTGACTTACTGCAGCGTGTTTCTGTTGAATCATCAGTGAAAGATGCAGTTAGTTTTAGAAGAGCTGCTGCTGAACTCTGAGAGCTATCCTTTAATCTCAGTAAAAGCATAGCTTTCCTTCGACTTGACTATCTGTGCTTATTTGTACGAATGCAAATTTTGTTTTGTAAGAAGTAGTAGTTTTCTCAAGTGGACAAAGGCGGTAAGTTCAACGTATACGCCTCATAAAATAGCGAAGGCACGTTATTCCGGGAATTCATCCGCAGCGTAGACATTGGACGCTGCCGACCACAGATTTCATCTCAAGAGGAGGAACGGACAATCAATTCTGTTGCAAGAGGCGCTGAGGTGAAGGAAACCCGAATTCTCTCTCACGTAGGGCTGGAACCTAGCTCCAAAATGCTCTAAATTAGGAAGTTATAAAATCTGGGGCTATTAATAATTAAATGATCAGATTTTTACAGCGCATAAAGCAGAGGAAAGCTAGAAATTACTGGAGAGGCAAGGGAAAATCCGGACACAATCCATGACCTTGTGGCCTGAAAAATCAGTCAGAATGAGTCAAATTCATTATGCTCTCTCTGGAAGGGATTTTGGGAGCCAGCCAAGTCCCAGAACCGTGGAGAAACGTGGACTGCTCTTGTACTACCGAGCATACCGGATCAGCACAGTGAAAAGTGGAAAGACGGTGATTAAGACGCCAGAGAATTAAAGTTTGTAAAGAGGAGGAGGAGGACTTTTGTGAAGGAACCAACCTCTAGGGGTTTCTGGATTTCTAGGAAAAACACCTTGTGAA